CTAATGAGGCCATCTTCCTCTGAACCTACCTGCTATCCCAAACTGCTCTTGAATGCAGGGCCCTGCCCCTGGCTCTGTGCCACGAGGGCCTTGCTCTGGTTCCCTACGGGGCAAAGAGTCTATGGGTTCAAGGGGACATGCCCTTAGAGCCCATACCACCCCCTTCTTGACCTTGCTCTAGGCACCAAGGCCCCTAGAATCCCCTGCTTCAGTGGCCCTGAGTCCACTTCTAGAGCTTCTTCCCCAGTTAGTCCTCCTGAGTGCAGCCCAAGCTGGGGGTATGCATATCCCTGAGCCCATAGTGTGGCCAAGGGGGTGCTGTTTGTGGGTAGCATGAGGGTGTAGACGTTCAGGGTGAGGCCCTCACTGTGAGGGAAGGAGCCAGGTGGGTAGAGGAGGCAGTGGGCTACCATGGGGATTGGAGGCTCCACGTGTATGCCATCTTGTTACAGGCCTCTGCCACCCACCCCCACACAAACGCACAGTGCTCCCTCACCCCGCAACCCTTCCAGCTAATGTCAGCCACATGAATCAGTCAAGAACCAACAATGATTGCCCTGCTTGGTTCATCCTAAGGAGCTCAAACCCCAACCCCAAAGGGAGCGTGGACCTTGAGTTCAGAGATGAGCTGAAAGGGAGTTGAGTGGAAAGCAGAAATTCGGCTGACTTCGAGCTTCCAGGCACAGAGGAATAGGGGGAGGGATCCAGAGCAGATGGAGCTTCCTGCCCCCGGCCCAGCCTGACACCTCCCCGGGCACAGCCAGGCCTGCCTGACTCATGGGGTGGGGTGACCCAGGGAGCTCTCACCGCTTGGGGCACCCCTAGGGACCTGTCCAGCCAGTTTCCCTATATTTGCCACATTGGCATTTAATTGTTAACTCCTCACATGCGTCACCCTGGATGTGGTTTGATTCAGACCAGAGGAGGGCAAGAGGGAGCCCCAGAGAGAAGTACAAGCTTCCCACTACTAGCTGTTCGATCAGCTCAGCTCTGGGAAGCTTGGGCAAGCTCTGGCTTGAGCCCTGGGCCCGGCCTCCCCTCAGGGGTAGTGGTAAGTGGAGAGAAAGGATCCTTCCTCCACTCAGCCCAGGCCCCCAGTGGTGTGGACTGGACTGGATTGGGAGGAAACCCGGGCTCTGGTCCCATCTCTGCCTCTATTGAGCGGGGTAACATGGACCCTCCCCTCCCCAGGCCTGGGTTTTCTCATCCTAATGAGCGTCAGGGTCCTCTCCAGTTCTGAAGTTCGGTGATTCTGATCCAGTTCCTCTGAGCTCTTGGAGCAGGAAGGAGGGTGGCTGGGACACTGCCCTTTGTAGCAGCAGGAAACAGAGCTCGAGCAGTGATCCGGGTGTTGTGAGGGGCTTGGCTTCTTGTGGGGGGCTCCTGCCTCTCCATTAGGAGTTATTTAACATAGAAAGTCACAGCTGGGGAGACCCTGAAGGACCATCTGGTGTAACCCCCATGGATGGGTGAGGAGCCAGGGGCCCAGGAGAGGAAGGGCTTGGCCCTCAGCCACCTGCAGCGCCCAGACTGGTGCCAGCTCCCTGAGGATCACTTGGGTCCCGTCCCAGTCACAGAGGGATCCGGACGTACTTTTCATCCCTGGCCCCAGCTGCCTGAGAAACTAGTTCTTGGTTCTCTGCCCTTCTACGTCAAATCGAGTGAGGAGGCTCCAGGAAGCAGTCCGAAGCATTTGCCCTTGCCTTGCCCTCCTCCTCTCGCCCTCCCCTCCTGCACCCATCCCTTTGCAGGCCCACGTGAAGGGCTGAGGGTGCGTTCAGAAGGTGGCTCAGGTGCATGCAAAACTTGAGGAAGAGCATGGGCCCTCGCTGGGGCTGTCACCTGGTTTCTGGGGCACTGCTGCCTTGTGCCTCCCCTGCCCCAGGGAAGCCTGGCCTGGGAGGTGCACTCTGAGTATGGGAAGGGAGGACAGGGAGGGATGGGGCCTGCCCGGCCAGGACAGTGTCAGGCAGGGCTTGGGCACCGGCCCAGCTCCCCACCCACCTTAACTTGGTGGGGCCGCCGGGCGGGCTGCGCGCGAGCGTGTATCCATGCGTGGACGCACACCCACGCGGAGCTTCTGCCCTCCCGCTTCTCATTCTCCCAGCCCCCGGCCCCACCTGGAAGAAAGCAAAGGACCTGGCCCGGAGCCTAGAGAGGAGCTGGATTCCCCTCAACCCAGGAGCAGGTGATGAAGGATACTGGGGCTGCTGTGTATCCTGTGACCTGAATTGGGAGCACAGGGATGTCCCCAGGGTACCAGCCAGCAGGCCGAGGGTTCCTGATCTAAAGGTGCATCATAGGTGGGCTTCTGGGGGTCTGAGAGGGGCCCCCACTGAAATTGTAAGCAAAATTGCATACACGTGGCCCATAGCCTCATCAAGGTCTCAAAGGGGTCTATGACCCCAAAGAGGCAAGAGACCCTGGTGTCCAGCAGGCCTCAGCTATTGGACAGGGGTTCAGAGAGGCAGACAAGACAGATGCAGGTGGTTCTGCAAACTGGTGCTGGAAGAGAAGAAAAAAGCTTCTAGATTGTGGGTGGAAGGGAGCATAGGATGGCCTGAATAGAACTTGGACCCTGGAGCCTGGCTGTGGGGCTCCAAGTCCCAGCTCTGCCACTTAGGAGCTGTGTGACCTTAAGCAAGTTATTTTCCCATTCTGTGCTCCAATTTCTCCATCTGCAAAATGGGAATTAATAACAGCACCTTCCTGATACGGTGGCTCTGTTGACTCTGTTAACACATTGGAGGCACTTGGAATGGTGCCCGACACACAGTAAGGGCTCCGTATGTGTAAGCCACGATCCCAAGGCCAGGCCACCTTATGGGACCTTGCAAGCTGCAAGGTGGATTTGCTGGGGCAAAGCCCCCATCTCCTGACTGGCTCAGAGGCTTCCCTGGAGGACTGGCCCCCAGAAGGCAGTCTTGGATCTCCAGGCCAGATCAGCCAGCCAAGCCCACTCCAGTATCTTCCCCCAACCCTCTGCCGACCCCCACCCCCACCCCGCAGCCTTCTGCCTCGCCTGCCTGTGCTCTGCCCAAACCAGAAGGGATAGGGCAGAAAGGCTGGGACAGGCCCTAATTACTGCAGGGACCCAAGTGGGTGGGTCGGGTAGAGGATTTCGGCCAATCAGAACAAACTCAGCTGCACCACCATTTACTACGCCTTTAGGGGCTGGAGCCACTCCAGGGGCAACATCCCTTTATTTCAATATTTTAACAACCAGAACAGGTATGGGTGGGTCAGCCCTGGGCCCAGGTGAGGGGAGAGAATCTAATTCACCTTCAGAAATAGAAAAATCTCAGAATTATTTCACCTGCATTTATGGGGGCAATGACCCCCGTAACACTTTCATGCATCTCTGGAAACAAAGTTAGGGGCTGACTCTTTTGCTTTATACCTTTTTGTTGGTGGTGTCGTACTTTCTATATTTGCCTATAATTTCCACAAGTTGCTTTATTTATTTTTATTTTTTTGAGAGAGAGAGAGTGTGTATAAAGGCGGAGGGGAGGGGCAGAGGGAAAGAGAGAATCTTAAGCAGGCTTCATGCCCAGCACGGAGTCTGACGTGGGGCTCGATCCCATGACCCTGAGATCATGACCTGAGCCAAAATCAAGAGTCGGACGCTTAACTGACTGAGCCACCACAAGTTGCTTTTATAAGCAGAAAACAAATTAAAGTTGCAATTCCCAGAGGTCTGTATGCTCAGCCCTCCACCTACGGGCCTTGGGGATGCAGCCAGGAGAATATAAGACTCAGTGTCTCCCATCTAGAATCTCAGGGTCTGGTTGGTGAGGCTGGATAAACCACAAAAACTCAGGCGACAGAGATGGAAGTGGTTGTGCCAGGCAGCGCTAGAGACCAGATCCCTCCTCAGTCTGGGTGGCACAAATCCTCATGGACACCAGTCATCATATTGCTCCAACCAGGAGCCAGGCCTGATAGGCAGGACTGAACCTAGAATTTAGGCTCTAGACCCGGGCTGTGCAGTCCAGTAGCCACTGGCCACGGTGAAATGTCACTCGTCAGGGATGTATGTGTAAGTACAGTCCATCAGATTTCAAAGACTTAGCATGAAAAATTCCATTTCCGGACTTTCTAATCTGAATGTAAAACATCTCAGTAGTAATTTTTAACATCGATTTAATGTTGAAATGATAATCTTTCGAATATATTGAATTAAGTAACACATATTATTAAAATTAATCCTGCCTATTTCTATTTACTTTCAGTGTAGCTACTAGAAAATTTAAAATGACATACAAGGCTTGCATTGTATTTCTATTGGGCAGCCCTAGTCTACACTGTCCCAGAAAACCCAGGAACTCGTCTCAGTCAATAGAACCTGTCAGAGAGCAGGTATTTTGAGTCTTTCTCCCTCCCCAAAAAACAAAAGCCCAACCATGGCTCCAGAAGGGAGTTTCTGGTTTCCTGCAGCTTCAGACCCATGAACAATCCTGTCCCAAATGCCCTTCTCCCAGGGGTCACTGCTATTTGACCTTTGAGACAGCTCAGGTGTTACCCTCTTCCAGGAAGCCCTCCTGGCCACCCTGGATTGGCTGCCGGTGCTCTGAGCTATGTTCCAACAGTCTGTTTACTCACTCCTGTCCTCCCTTGAGAGCAGCAATGCTGGCTCAATCATCTCTGCGTGCCCGCATCCAATGCAAGGCCTGGCACAGAGCAGGCTGTGGTCCATGCCTGCGGAACATGGACGTGAATCCTGCTTAGCTAGAGGTACCCATCGCTGTGCTAACTCTGCACACAAGTTCCCCATAACCTCTCCTCAGGTTTCAGACACCCCTAATTTCAGCCTTCCTGCCATGAGTCTCAGCCACGCCTCCTCCCAGGAGCCACCCTGGGTTGGCATCAGGAAGGAAGGGAATGAACAGGGGGTGAGGCTGATGTCCACTCAGGCTAGGGCAGGAGGGGCTGCCTCCTCTGGCAGCCGAGGTAGTCCATCCAGAGCAGACCCACAGACCCCAGCCCAGAACCATACTCACCAGCGGAAGGAAGGTCAGTAGGGGCCGGACTCTTGGCCGAGCTTTCAGCGTGGCTGTTCCTGACTCACTCACAGAGTCAAACCGATTGTCTCCATAATAGATGCCACCTGGAGGAGACAAGTGGAGGAGACCATGAGCTGGAGGTCAAAGGCATGTGGAATGACTGAGTTAATCTACCCTGCAGTTCTGAGGGAGGAGAGCCAGGCCCTGTGGTTGGCCCACCTGACTCAGCTCAGCGCCTCTTACACAAGATCCTGTCAATGGCGTGGGTGCTCACAGGAGCCACTGCAGTGGGGTTGGGAGGGACTCCAGGGGGCTGTTTCTTGGGGCCTCAGCTTGCCCCAGAAGCATGTTCCTCCTGACCCCCTGTACAGCTCCTGAGTCTACACTTCGACAAGTCGTCCCTCCTTTAGGGGCCCTGAGAGTGTGGCCAATGCCCCAACTAAAGCTTATCTCTGAGCGAGGGAGGAGCGCAAGGTGGCTTTTTTTCTCAAGTGTTTGAATTTCTAGTCTGGAACAAGCAGAGCAGATGAGGTCACCTGCTGCTCCCAGTGGCCCAGCACCCACCTTCTGGACTCTTCTAACTCAAGCTATTCTTAATCCCCAAAACCAGCAATGGTTGTGAGCATGGCTCCATGCATTGCACCCTTGAGGGCAGAGCAGAAGGATCCCCGTACCTAGTACAAATCCCAGCTCGGCTACTTACTGGCAGTGTTGTGTAACTTCTCTGGGCCTCAGTTTTCCTATCTGTACAATGGGAGTCATGTTAGTGCTGACCTTATAGGACTGTTATGAGTTAGTGTGGCCTACACTTAGTAAGTGCTCAACAAATGTGGTCCCTTCCCCTGTAGGAAGATGATACAAAGACCTTTTTCTTCCTCTAGTTACTGGGTCTGTGTTCTAGGCTGTTTCTACAGTAGTGGGGAGGGTGTGAGAAGCCATTCACACTTCCTCAACCAATCTTCCTCATGACCCTTAATGCTCATTGATAGGGTTTCATAGTCTGTCCCAGGTTCACACTGTCACCTCCTAGAAGCAAGGGTCACTGTGGACCTCCTATGTTGGTCATGAGCAAGGGCTTTCACCCATTTAACAGGGCATGAGGGACTTTTTGCTCCTCTCTAGCCAAAGGGGAAAGAGAAGAAAGATCAAAATCCCAATGAACCAGAATCCTGTAACTGGAACATTGAACAAATCATGATTACTTTTCCCTTTGCACCTGACTCCAGGAGCAAATTGCAAGAAAGCCAAAAGATTTATTCAAGAGAGACTGGGCTTGTCAGGGAAGTCCTGAGATCAGAATACATTCACCCCAAATTCCCACACCTACAGCCACAGCTACCGCTCTATGTGAGAATCTGGGTTTTGAATGTGCCGTAGAGGCTCTTGAGAACGTCACAGCAACTGGACGCAGAGCCCTTTGTGTGCTGCCCCACAGGCAGAGAGCAACTGGGACATTCCCGATTTTCCACCTCTGAAAAGGGGCCAAAATGACAAGTTTTCTGTGTGCACCACAGTCCCCAGTAACTCCAGTTCCCAGCAGTGGCCTGCCCAGCGCCCTCCAGGAAGACATGGTTGCCCAGTCCCTACCAGGCTCCACACCTGAGCCTGGAGATCAAGATGCCAGGGGCCAGGTGGGGGAGGAGAGGGGAAGCATAAGAGTGCAGATCTGGCCCAATCAGAAACCACTAAAGTAGAGATAACAGGAAAACCGATGACGGCTACCCCTAAGGTCCACCTGATTCTCTCTGGCTTCTAAGAGTTTGCCTGTTGACACCAGGATCTCCTGGGACATTCCCTAGATAGTGCTGTGTGGACCCCAAAGGTCTAAATCAGACATGCGTGAATATGGCTGCTGGGCCCTTCCTAGGACTGGGAGTGGGGTGGGGTTAACACAGAGATAGCAAGAAAGGCAGGCTCCCAGGCTGACCTTTTCTCTAATCATCTCATCTCTGCGCTAGTGTTGGGGTCTATGAAGACTCCTTTCTACAGCTGAATTGTCATGACGTTGATGTGTGCCTAGAAGCTCTGGAAGGGAGCACCCTGGCAAGGGGATCACTGTAATAGTAGTAATAATATAATAATAGGTAAAACTTATTGAGCAATTTTAATGGACCAGGCACTGTTCTAGGCATCTTGCACATTATTCATTCACTTAATTTTTAAAACAGTTCCATGCAATTGGGACAGTCCTCATCCCCATTTTACAGATGAGGAAATAGGGGCACAGAGAGGTCTAAGAACTTGCCCAAAGCCTCAGAGTAAGTGGTGAAGCTGGGGTTTCTGCTGCAGGGCTGATCTCTGAACCATTACCTGCCCTGCTTCCAGAGTAGGGAATCCTAATCCCGCCACATACATGGTGTGGATGGGAGGACGGGGTGCGAGGGGTGTGGGGGAGGCTATTTGGGGGTAAGAGAGTCTTGGCTGTGGCCCTGGAGCAGCTCTGGGGAGGGGCGGGAGGTGAAGCTTGCCCGGGGGCACGCTCAGGCTGGGGCAGAGTTGAATCTGACCCCCACACAGGTGCAAGGGCTCTAACCACCTCACAGATTCCATGGTTCTAACCACCTCACAGATTCCATGGTTCTAACCACCTCACAGATTCCATGGTTCTAACTACCTCACAGATTCCATGACTCAGCCCTGACTGGGAGGCACTGTTGTCTTGGTTTGTGGTTGTTTTCAGCAGGGGAAACCCCCTTTTTTAAAAAAAGATTTTATTTATTTATTTGACAGAGAGAGACACAGCGAGGGAGGGAACCCAAGCAGGGGGAGTGGGAGAGGGAGAAGCAGGCTTCCCGCTGAGCAGGGAGCCCGATGTGGGGCTCGATCCCAGGACCCTGGGATCATGACCTGAGCCAAAGGCAGATGCTTAACGAATGAGCCACCCAGGCGCCCCAGCAGGGGAACCCTTTCTAAAAATACAGTCGATCTTTGGGAAACCCATCGGAGGCCGGAGGCTGTGCCTGAGGCAGGGGTGGAAGGCCCCAGTGGTTCCTCCCCACGAGGGCGTTTCTTGGAAATCCAGTTTGGTTCCCCAGTTCTAAGAAGTGTGCCTGGGGGTCAGGGCAGGAAGTGTGGTGACAGAGTTGGAGTGTGATGTGAGAAAGGCTCCACTGGCCACTGCTGGCTCTGCAGATGGCAGGGGCCACGAGCCAAGGAATGCAGGTGGCCTTTAGAAGCTGGAGAAAGAAAACAGACTCTCCTCTACAACCTCCAGGAGGGAACAGAGTCTTACGGACGCATTAATGTTAGCCCCATGAGACTGGTGTCAGACTCCTGACCGACAGAACTTCAGATAATAAATGTATGTTGCTTTAAAAAAAAAAAACAAAACAGGGGCGCCTGGGTGGCTCAGTCGTTGAACGTCTGCCTTGGGCTCAGGTCATGATCCCAGGGTCCTGGGATCGGGCCCCGCATCAGGCTCCCTGCTCAGTGGGGAGTCTGCTTCTCCCTCTCCCACTCCCCCTGCTTGTGTTCCCTCTCTCGCTGTGTCTCTGTCAAATAAATAAAAAAAAAAAAAAGGAAAAACCAAAACACAAAAAATGTGTGGCTAGAACCTGCCAGACTTTCCCTGGGCCCCTCATGCCTGGGCTCAGTTCTTTTTTTTTTTTTTTAAATATTTTATTTATTTATTCGACAGAGAGAGCACGAGCAGGGGAGTGGCAGAGGGAGAAGGAGAAGCAGGCTCCCCGCTGAGCAAGGAGCCCGATGTAGGGCTTAATCCCAGGATGCTGGGATCATGACCTGAGCTGAAGGCAGATGCTTAACAAACTGAGCCACCCAGACGTCCCTGGGCTCAGTTCCTGACTGGTAAAGGCACACCAGCAGGCGACGCAAGAGGGGCCACCACCATGAGCTGGGTCCTCCACAGGTTCAAGATCAGGGCTGGGGCTTTCTAAGCCTCAAGATCAAGGTCCAAACTAAACAGAAAGACAATAGAGTCCAACTTGGGGATTTTCCCATGGAAGTAAATGAACTCGGTTCCAATCACAGTCTCAAGGATGCTAGAATGGGCCTTCCTGAGAAGCAGCCCCCTCCTCAATTGATGAGATAAAGGAGGGCCAGGCCACCTCTTGAGGACGGAAGGGGAAGTGAGGAGGTGGAGGGAGTGACAAAGAGGAGCCTGAACAGTTTGCCCTCTGAGTATACGATGAGAATGCTCAGTAAGAAAAGATGCTGTCCTAGTGTCTTATCCACTCTGAAACCTAGAAACTCCCTCTGTGCCTGTCTTTTTACTCGGTCCCTTGCCCACTGGAAGAGTCCTTGGGGATCTCGGAGGTCTTGAGCTTACCACATGGCCCAGAGGGACACCTGAGGAACATCCCAGTGGGATTCAGAAGGCAGGGAAGTGGAGAGAGCCACCATGGGCCCAGAAGCTTCCAGAGAAAGGGGGCATCTTCGGGGGGCAATTCCAGCAGCCAGGAAGCCTTGGGAGGCCCAGGGAGCGGGGTCTGAGCACAGCCCCAGCCCCAGGTGGGCCACAGCCCTGTCAAGATACAAACAAGCCTCTCTGCCTGGCAAACTCATCTCAAAGAAGCACAGTGATAATGGAGGAGGAAATTCAGATCTGCCTCCACGTACCCAAACCTGATCATTAAAACAATCCCAGCTTCCCCCCAAATGAAATCCTCTTTCTGACAGGATTCTGTGCAGGATCCCTTTGCATTTGGTTACATTTGTCTCTCATAGATTGACAGGAAACAAAGGCAGCTTCTCATTCACGCTTCCTCAAGATCTGAGCTCACATAAATGCCATCTAATATCCAGAAACCTGGTTCAAAAATAACTCTTGGTGGCCACATGTGTTTCAGCAGGAAGGCATCTCCTCAGACCTCACCCCGGGGATGGCAGCTCCCTCCTCCACGGCCTCCTTTCAGGGGAGAACCCCACCCTGCCGTTGGCTTGAGGGGTATTTACGTTGAGGCTGAGGCTGCATGGGCTCTGAGGAGACCAAAGCAAGGCCAGGAGACACCCAGGCAGGCCACAGCTCCCCAGCCGGGAGGGGAGGCAGGATGGTGCGGGGCCCAGACTGCGGGCTCAGCGCCCCGCTGGGAGCCTGGTTCCAGTTCTATTCACTGTGGGGCCTTGGGCATGTTTCTAGGTCTCT